TTTCAAAGCACGTCAAGATATACTTAAATGGACATCCTGCTTTTGATTGTTCAACACGCCACTTGGTCAAAATGTAGTCTGCAGTAGCAAGTAACTATTATCTGAACGTTGAATGTTATTAGTTGTTTGCTTTGATACAGGAGGAGGGAGTAACGCATTGAGATAGTGCGGAGTTTGCTTCGCTTTAATCGTAAAGAGTGTTAGTTTCTTCTCTTTAGTCTATTTCAGAAGCTCTGTATCTTTTCTTGCCTTCTCAAGCTCTAGTTGTTAGAATCGGTTTTTAAATCTACAAAGAAACATTCATTTCAAAATACACTGATATTTTGCAGTATAGACCTGAGAAAAGAAATATAAATTATATTTTATAAAATATACATACTACATTTGTATATACGTTTTCAAAGATTTGCTAGATTTATTTAAAATATCTCTCTTTTATTAAATTATGTTAATATGAAGAAAATATTTAAGAATATGTGTGTATGTGTGAGTTTCTAGATTTTTAATGTAGCTTTAACACTTCGAGTCATATTATGTCTGCAGTGTGTCGGTTTTCAATGATGCTAGAACCGAGGCATAATGTCCAGCCCTGTCGCAATATTCTGAAATCATGTCGACCTGTTCTACCACTAACCTCTTGATGCTGAGTGCCAAGCGAGGCAGCTGTTAGTACCATTTGTATTTGGCATGACACAGACAGTGTTTTTCACCCGCGACCTCTTGCATCCGAGACGGATGCTTCAACCACTTAAGCCATCGGATCATCCAAGTCCAATTGATATTTGATAAAAGTACAGATACAAAATAATGATCAGTATTTCAAAAATAACTGATTGAATTTTTATTATTTTCTTGCATTTATTTTCCTTTGTTTATATTATTTCGTTTTGTTTTGTTTATGTGTTTGTTTCCAATTAAACCTAAAGAGTCATTACTTTGACTTTCTGAAGCTTTATTAGACAATTATTTATGAATACACACATTTCTTTACAATACTGGGACGAATGAAGTAGAAATGAGTCATATGCAAAGAGACGGTTGAGAGTTCTACTTCAATCAACAGCATGATTTACGTAGACTAGAAACATGATATGCAGAAACGGCGAATTTTGTGTCACATCAACATTTATAACTGTTTTTCTTATGATTCTTTGTTGTTTTTATTGAGGAATATATATCATGCAATATGATGACTTGTTTTCTGTTAATTTCATAATTATCGAACCATTTCTACATATTAGCTGTAACATCATATTTGTTCAGTTTTCATAATAAGCCTGTGTACGAATATTTTGATAGATATAATAACATAAGAATGATTAGATTTATTCAGTGACTGACCTATACTATGATAAAATTCAATAAGTAGAATGATCACTACGTAATCCTCATACCAACATACAAAATTAAACTATTTTGATGACTGAAAATATAAAAATATAAACTTGTTAAAAAAGTTATCTTTCAAAGATTTTCGAAAGACAGCTTATATATAAACACAGCTTTTATATATATATATATATATATATATATATATATATATATATATATATATATATATATATATATATATATATATATATGATTTTGATTGGAGACAACGTGTAAATAATAAAAGGAAATACGTTTTCTTAGGACTTCGAAGAATATACAAAAATTTCCATTTATCTTGATTAAGAAGAATTTTGTGTAGTTCCCCTGTCCTTTGATTTACGCTTTTGCATTTTGCGACTTACGCCATCAGATCCAGTGATTTTATTGACAGAAATGGATTTAATAATATATATTATTTCGTTTTCAGAGACTGTAATTTTATTGAAGATATTAAAGTTTCCTTTTATAAATAGAAAAAAGACATTATAATACTCAACTACTGAAATAGAAGTAAAAATTTCCTTCAGTACGTTATCCCTTTTTTATTATACATGCAAAATGGAACATTATTTCTTTTAGCTCTGAGTGGTGTGATAGAAGTGATAGAATTTGAACGATTTGTCTGTTTGAAAAGTAATTTATTTTAATTTTCAAAAAATAATTTATGATCTTTATATTTCGGATCTGAAATATATCACTCAGTATCACATTTTGATATTGGTCATTAGCATACTTTTTAATAGTGATTGCTATATTTCTGACAATCGATTGGCCTCCTATGATTTATTATAATTATCCGTTCACTGACCCTTATCATTATAATGATTCTTATCTGGGAATCAAACCACGAGTTTTCATCCGGGCAAATTGTTATATTTGAAGAAAGAAAGCCCAAATCTGAGACATATAATAATTTGGTAGTGAATATATCAGTTGCAGCATCATTATGTCTTAGGGTTAGCAATAGACCTAACCAATTAGTTACAGCAATTAGAGCGTTGAATATTATTAAAAATCGGATTTGCTGTAAATCCAAATACGGTACTTATAGGCCTTTTGGTATATCACTGATTACAGTATTAGGAACATCACAGTTACGAACTTAACTTCATATTAATATTTAAAAGTCAGTGTAAAGTTATGTTATATGACTATCACGTGACTGTTATGTGGCCGTAATCTAACCAACAGAAAAACGCAAAACAAACAAGTTCAATAAAATTGAACAAATATTATATTTCGCAAGATTTTAGAGTGAACATTTAACAGAAATTTACACTATTGTAAACTAAATCACAAATAGTCTTGAAAGTTACTCCATGATTCCCAATGTATCGATTTTTACGAATGAACTCCATTTTTGTTTGCAATGAATTCCAATCTTGAATGAGCTGATACGCTACTAGATGTGATGATTCTTAATAATCTTAATGCATCACAGTAATATAATCCAGAACGTCGTTGAAGGAATTCACAATAATCCCAAAGCAATGATTTAGTCCAAAATATTACAGAGCAATTTTGTGATTCCAACGAATGATTTAAATAAATACATCCTCTCATAATAACTGAATACAACAAAAACGTTCATTCCACTAGATAAATAGGACAGTATCAGTAAATAATTCGGATGGAAAAAACTTATATATATATCCCCTCTTAACATATGTCGCAAAAAACATTTTTTTTTGGATAAAAAATAATCATCACAATGTAAAATTACCCCAAACTGTAATTTAAAAAAATAATTTATATAATTATATAATCTTCGAAGGTTACAAACAAGGTTCGTCACGTTATAAAGGTAAATAGAAATGTCTGCAAAATAATTTCTTTTACATATTAGTCAAATATACATGTGATATAATTATAATAATTGAAATTGCATAGATGACTGTCTCATGGATTACATGCATTGTAGGTAAAGAAATATAAACTTGTATACATCTAAAAGTGCAATTAGATTTTCTTTAACTTGCTGTGCCTGATGTCGATGTTGTGTACCTGCAGCACCAAATCTAATCTTAACAATTTCCTTAGATACAAACCTTTGCTCGCAAACTAAGTAGCAAGAAGAAGTAAAACCATGATATGTAATTCTAGCAAACAATTTAATTGTTGAACGTATAAATGAAAAAAAGAGAGGAATTTACAGTATTATGAAGTGTAAGTCTTAAATAAAGTAAAAGTTTCCTTATAAATTTCAAAACCGGTTTTGTACTGATCCTCAATTGTTACTTATAGGCTCGTTTGAAAGTAAAGAAAGAAAAGAGTGACCAACAAGCTCTGTAAGTTTAAAAAAAAAATAATTTATTTCCCTAGAAAACACCACGGAAAGGTGAAAATACAAAATAGGACTTACAGTTTGTGAAGACAATACAAACATTTATGCTAGTACTGAAAAATACAAGTCATATCACTAAATAGTTTTAAATGAATCCAGGGTGGAATCTTGATAATGTTCCAAGACGGAGGATGATGATGTCAGGTGAAGTTTTAATACGATTGTCGAAAGTTCCACGATGAACCACAACTTGTTTCAATTATGAATAAATTTCCATTGAATGTCCTTGTCACTTGTATAGTTCTCCAGGTAATTAAGCATTATATTCTAAAAATAGATAAACTTCTGAACCAGCTTTCATCTATGATAAAACATCTCAAGCCCCAATGATGTAAGAATATAACTCTTTATTGCACCTAATGGAAATATATACTTCTTCTTGAAGATATATTGTACGAATGAATATTTCACAGAGACCTGAGAATTTCTAAACTAAGCTAAGACCGCATTTCACGCGCGCACGATGGAACGTGTGTCTATTTCGCAATAAACAATGCGATTTCGCGTGGGTAAGAAAAACTGAACTTGGCAGTAACCAGTGGTTACGCGTGGTGTTTACTTAAATCGACTAACCATAGCAGGACAAAATCGTACCGATGCTAGTCATATTATGTATTATACAAACATAATATCTCTTTCGAATATATCAGATCCTGTGAAAAAAATCATTATAATATAATGTAATGATACAAAAAAAAAATAACGAAGAATTTAAAATTAATACATAATAAATTAAATGTCATATTCGTAACACAAGAATCGTGAAGATCTCAAAACGAAATCTAGAATTCCCTCAAATAATTTAAAACAGTACCAGAATAGTATTATAATCCAAATAATGAGCACAAATACTTTTCTTCTCGAATGATATATAAGTACAATACAAAATACACCTGTAGACTTGCAACAGGAACACAAGAAATGAGAATGACTAAAATATTAGAATGAAAGTGATTACTCAGTTCTTTCATTATTAACACTTTTTAGTGCGACTATATTTCGCAATAGACACACAGTAGCAGAATATAATACTCGTTTTGAGTCAAACTTGCTTATACATGTGACTTAGTCCTTCCGATCGTTAGTTACTGAATTCTTCCAGAAATGTCGAAACCCCATAGACCACCGAGAAATTAAGCTATTCGCGCCAATAGGTATTCTTCTTCTTCTTCTTCTTCTTCTTCTTCTTCTTCTTCTTCTTCTTCTTCTTCTTCTTCTTCTTCTTCTTCTTCTTCTTCTTCTTCTTCTTCTTCTCATTATTATTATTATTATTATTATTATCACCTCTGGTTGCTTAAATGGTTAGAGCGTCCGCCTCGGATGAGTAAGGTCCCGGGTTCGAATACTGGCTGAGTCATACCAAATCCTTCAATAAATGGTATTATCAGTAGTCTCTCCTAGTGTTCAGCATAGGCGGGTTATTGCTAGAACTACTCTGCCTCGTGTCAGAAGAGTATAACTGGGTGGGATATAATGCTTCTTGTTTGCTGGATGATATCCCAGTGCTAGACATGATTATAAACTGCCATACTTCAGTCATCGCAGCAATATGACTAAAACGTTGTTAATGCTAAGTTAAAATTCAAGTCACGAACACATATACACACATTATTATTATTAATTGTCAACACATACGTAAATATCTATGTATAAATCTTATGTAATACAAAATTCGTATGCAACTCTTTACTAAAGATATTACGTGTAAGTTACATTCATGATTACAAATGATAAAAATAAGATAAAGTCATATACCAGCACTTAGAAAGAAATACAGATATATATAACATTTTTAATTTTGCTAACTAAAGTAAGGGTTGTGCGATCACTAAATTCACTAATAGAGAAGTAGTTGAAATGATATACCCTTCAATCTGTTACATTGCAAAGTTAATATTCCTTCTTGATTGTGAAATAATTTCTATGGTGTGTGATTAATTATTAAACAATTAAATAGCACACTGGATCATCAATACTATTTATTGTATTAGTGAGTCAATAACCCACAAATACCAATAATACCTCTATAAACAGACGTTTAAAAAGATTTACTGAAATTTAGAGTTGATAGAACTGGTACACCTTGAAGTATAGCCTTTAATTTATCAAAAGCCTCTGACATTTGACAGACCGATGAATCTTGTATTTCTTACTCAACATTTGGTTACAGGTTCAGCAATTGTGGAAAAATGTGAGAAAAGTTTCCGATAATGTACAGTCATCCAATAAATCATATCAGCTGCCTCTTACTGATAGGTACTGGGAATTCAGGGATAGCTGTGACCCTGCTTTCTATAAAGACAAGTAGACCGTATCTGTCTTCAGCACTAAAGAGACGTCTATGCTTGGGCTGAGCTTGACGATAAATAAGCAAGGTTGCACTTGCATTAATTTCATGTTTTGTTTGAATTATATTTTGTTAAATCAAGACCCCCTACAGTGTTATTTAACAACATTTAGATGACATGGGTTACAGAGTTTTCATACGACTTGGCTGAATATGGTGTTACAAAGTAGACAAAGAAAAGAGAATGCAATTGGTACCTTCATTGAACTAAAGATTATTCAGACCTTATTCGAATACATTGAGTAAATATTTAGTAAGAAAATTTTATATGCGTTCAGCTCCACTGAATGCATGATAAGGGTTATTGACTTGGTGTATCATTCAATATGGCCATATCCAGGGCATTATCGTCGACAAATGTTTCTTTGCCCATATATTTGGTTTTATTTTTTTCACCGTTGTTAATCTGTCGAAAAAAGATTATCCATAACTAACAGCACCTTCGTGGAATGTGGCGATATTCATGCCTGGCTGAACATTCAAGGTGTTTTCCTTGAATAATTCTATTAGCAGCTAATTAGCGCATGACCTTTAACTTACCCAAAACGAGGCAATTATACATTTATATATCCCAAGCTTCTTTGACGCAATCGGTAACTGTTAGTCAAAATATTCCATTGCAAAAATTTCCACGGTTAATTCGATTGTGTGGAACGTTTCCTCTTCCAATTTTGGAATAGGAATGGGGAAACATTTATGGCTAACAATTCAAAATGATGATGCTACTTGTGAAAACATTCGCAACATTCTTGGACGTTTCCGTAAGCTTTAAAGAGAAATCTCGGCTGTAATTTGCTGTGAATTCCTCTAAGCACTTCAGAGGCTATTTAATTCCCAAAATCTCTTCTACGTTAGTTGTTATGGTTTTATTGTGGGATTTTCATCGCATGTGCATATGAGTAAGCAGACAGTAATATCCTGGTTATGATGACGCTTACTAGAAATTAAAATAAAAACTAATTCAAACAAACATTTAACTAAAAATAAATATTTAAATCAAAGATATGTTGTTTCACGTTCAAACCTGTCATATTTATAATTTAGACAAGTTAGTCTTGCAGGAGATAACATTCTGCAAATACTGTCTGGCATGCAAATCTTGTGACTTGGATAAACATCCCAGAACGTTCATTCTGTAGCATCAACCATTCAATGTCTTTGTGGGCTGTTGAGTGGCCATTTAAAATATGGGGAGAGATAACAATGTATATTGTTTTAATCTTGACCAGACCTCTGTAATTCCTTGGTCTGACTATAAATTTCCATCTTTGTACAGAGATTATATTAGAACTTCGATAACTTTAAGCTAGAATAATTAATCATAATGTAACCTAAAAGTCAAAATATCCTTAATCTACTCTTTGCAAGTAATCAACCACTGATCAACAAAAGCACAATAATTACGTTAATATGTGTTTGTGATGTTATCATATGCATCGACGGCCACGTCAATGCCACGTCACCTCCCAAAAAAAAATACAGATATGCAACACATCAAATTGGACCAAACGAAAAAAAAAATCATAACAGACTGCTAACAACAACTGCTCTCAGATATTAATGTTCTTATCCATAAGTTTGAAAAAGTCATAATATTGCAAAACTTGGAATACATATGTGTATCCCATACATAACAAGCAGGAACCAATAATAATCTACGCTAGATCAACTGCAAGCTACATAGGCTGTCATAGAAAAGGAAAGTTAAAATTGGGATAATGAAAGATTTGGACACTTGCATAAATTTATAAGCGACATCATATAATATAAATGACAACGTTCCTATGTAATTATGGGTTTAAAATGGGGAGAAAAGACCATTTTCCAGACAAAATAATTAACAATTAGAATATGTCAGTATTAGCCCGATCCCCAAGTTTATGTTCTGTGACATATAATATGTTTTGACCGTATACATTATATGCCAGAACACGTAGAATCAAGTGTAACTTTGATTGCAGATGACGCCTCCATGTATGTGACAAATTCTAAACCTTATAAATGAAATTAGTTTTAAAAGGATCTGACAGAACTAGCATATCCATAGAAAAATTGAGGTACGGAATTCAACAATTCCAAATGTTAGGCTTTACATATTAATAGACATCCGAAACCTACTCTGGTGCAGTACTTTCTCTGCGGAATTAAATTGAAAATTATGAGACCACAATATATGTATATTCTTCTGCAACTATTCAAACACGTGCTGCCTCATGGGTTCAACAAGATGATCGTCGCACATTCACCGCTACATGTCTGCTGCAATAACTAAGCAACGAAAAAGTAGCAGTATACATATATATATATATATATATATATATATATATATATATATATATATATATATATATATATATATATATATATATATATATATATATATATATATATACATACATATATATATATATATATATATATATATATATATATATATATATATATATATATATATATATATATATATATATATATATATATATCTTGATCAGATGGTATATGTATAATTTACAAAAAGGTACGCAGGTCTACATTTATTGGGCATCGTATTTTTTATTCTTGCAACGGATGGGTTGCTATTCCTCAGCGATGCAATTATTAAAGGCCTTGGACATTACCAAGCTTGGCCATGTTTCAACTAATTGCGAAGACAACAATAAACTCATTTTCCAATGCTTAGCTATAAAATACCCTTTCACGAAGTTACTTTTCTAACACATACTTTTATCTTTGGAAGAATTAAAATGGAAAATTTAAATATACGTAGGCACATTCAGGTTATAAAAGGTTAGTAGAAAGTAAAAGTACTAAACTTTATGAAAACAAAAGAACAAACAAATGATAAAGGGAAACAAAATATACTTGCATGAAGTTTCGGTAAGAATCTTTGAAGCACAAACAGTATATAAATTTATTATTTTAGAAAATAAATAGTTAGATTTAAAACCCTAACAAATATATTTATGTTTTGATGCGCATGTATGCATCTTTCTTTTTGGTGCAGATCTATCTATCTTACTATCTATCTATCTATCTATCTATCTATCTATCTATCTATCTATCTATCTATCTATCTATCTATCTATCTATCTATCTATCTATCTATCTATCTATCTATCTATCTCTATCTCTCTATCTATCTATCTATCTATCTATCTATCTATCTATGTGTGTGTGCATGCGTGTGTGTGTTGGTGTGTGTATTGGTGTGTATATGTGTCGCTCTCTCCCTATCTGCATATAAAGAGGAAGAGTGGTCAACGTAATATAACATATAAAATTAATAATTTCCTTCAAGCACCAAAGAAATATTCTTTTTTCACTTCCTGAAAATTTACGTTGTAATAGTATAAAGATAAAAATAAATTTATATATAAATATGTTTTTTAAAATGAGGTTCAAACTAGTTGTTGTGATAAGAAGCAAGAAACATATATATATATATATATATATATATATATATATATATATATATATATATATATATATATATATATATATATATATATATATATATATATATATATATATATATATATATATATATATATATATATATATATATATCACTCATTCTTCATTTCCCACCCTTGCCATAATTATCTCTTCATATGTATATAGGTATGCATCTTGAATGTGTAAAGGAAGGTCACGAATACTTACTTCTTATATTCAGCATAGTCCAATTACTGCCCCTGTACGTGTTGTTTGTTAGACGTAATTGACAACGCCATATTTGTCCATGTCTCTCTCTCTCTCTCTATGAGCATTGATTATTGTCATCTGAAATGTACCGATGGATTCGTTGCAAGTGAAGGTTTTATTCTGGCTTGACGTTCCATATAAAGGAATACAGCTCATGTTAAGGAGAGTGTATTCTGTATAATCTGTATTATCTGAATACCACAATATTTCGAGTGAAACTAAAGTACCGTAGTAATTGCATGTCAATGTCACATTTCTTACAACAATATAACAGTTTATGTTGGATGTGTATATACAACATGGCA